CATGGATTCCTTATCTCTCTGGCCCTGATTTCACTTAATTCACTTAGTATATTATTTTTCTTTTCTTTTTACAGAATTTCTAGTCCTTTGCAAATGGTACAATATTATTTTTTTTCATGGATGAGTAAAATTTCATTGCATATGTATATATCATTTGTCCATTGAGGAGCATCTGGGCGGATTCCATACCTTGGCTTTGGTGAATAGAGCTGTAATATGGTTGTGCTAGTGGCTTTACTGTATCCCGGTTTGTTATCTTTTAGGTAAATCTTCAGGGGTGGACACACCATCTTTTTTAAAATAACATATTCTTAGGAAAATTCACAACCTTGTGTAAGACAGATTTTGCACAAGGGGAAAGTGACAATATTTATCTTTCTAGGTCTTTACACATGGCTAAGGTAGACATGATAACATATTGCCAGAAGGATGGAAAGACTGCAAGGGAGTTGGCGCCATTGTTTTGTTTGTTTGTTTGTTTAGAACTGTCAATCTGAATTATATTGATTTTCGCTATTGAAGTCAGTACAACTTTTGAAGCATTGAGATTAGCCAAAACTATCTTCAACAATTTACATGTCATTTTAGGATTTTAGATTTTGGGGGCTGAAATGAAAAATACCAAGGCAGATAACAAAACCAGTATAGATGTTTTGGTTGAAAATCATCATTCTATCTTTGTTTCTGTTTGTCTCTGTCTAATTTCTCCCTCCCTCTTTCCCTCTTTCCCTCTGTTCCTCTCTCTCTCTCTCTCTTATTCTCTCTCTCTGTTTCCATCTCTCCCTTTCTCCTCACTCCTTGCTGCAATATTTATCGACATCCATAAACATCCTTTGTCCTTATTTTCTTTCTTTCATGTAGAAATGGATATTGGCAAACTAATTTCAGTTCCTAATATTTCACTCCCTATTTTTCACTCTTTCCAAAATATTCCTAGAAAAATTAGAAATTCCCCAGTCCCCATAATTCTAGTTAAGTAATTAAAGTTAAGACTATTGAATAACTTACAAGGTCTGCAATAACTGAATGCCTGTCTACATTTTGGTTTTAAAACACTACGTTGCTGTACAGAGGAGTTACAGTTACATGAGTAAGGTAATGAGTATATTTTTGGTGAGCATTGCTACCCCTCCTTTATTTTTTTCCTGCTACCCCTTTCTTCCTCCACCTTTCCCACTCCTCCCCCCACACTGAAGTTTTAAAGTACATTATCCACATAGTGTCTTGTGAGTCTCATTGTTGTAATGGGTCGCCCTGTGTCCTTCTTTAAGCATTTCATTATTCCCCTTCCCCTCCACAAATTAGATAAATGTATACACAAGACACAGGGTACTAAAAATCAAATACAGTGAGAACAGAGGTTATACCATAGTGGGAAGAACATACTAAAGAAACAAAAAAATCACATAGAACATTAAAACAACAACAACAAAGAAAAACCTCTGTGTCCTTATCTTGAGGTTCATTTTGCTTAGCATCATCTTATATGGTCATATGTACACAGCTTTTGAGCTTTTCTGGTCATCTGATCAGATTAGCTTAGACGTATACTAATTATTGCAAATAAAGGAAACCATAGGTCCTATATTTCTTTGGTTCTGGCTTACTTCACTTAATACAATTCTTTTCTAAGTCTTTCCATTTTCTAATAAATAAGGCAGTGCCATTCTTTCTGATGGAGGCATAGAATTCATATGTGTATATATATATATATGTATATATATGACATTTTCTTGATCCATTCATCTACTGAGGGGCATCTGGATAGGTTCTATATCTACCTATGGTGAATAATGCTGCAATAAATATAGTTGTGCTGGTAGCTTTAGTGCATCCTTGTTTGTGGTCATTGGGGTAAATGTCCAGAAGTGGGAGTGCTGGGTCATAGGAGAGCTCTATGTGTAGTCTTTTGAGGAACCTACATACTGCTTTCCAAGTTTATACTCCCACCAATAATACAGTAGAGTTCCTTTTTGGTCACACCCCCTCCAGCATCTGTTGTTATTAGATTTTTTGATTATAGTCATTCTAACTGGGATGAGGTAGAATCTCAGTGTTGTTTTGATTTGCATTTCTTTTATAGCTAGAGAACGCAAGTATTTCTTCATGTGTCTATTGGCCATCTTTACAATGAAATAAAATTAAAAATTTTTTTAAAAACACTATGTTCACTTTCTTCTTTGTATCCTCTTAGTATAATTTATCTTTCTTGCCAGTGATGAAAAGTTTATTTTCACTAACTCTTTCATTATAGGCTATAATTCTTGGATGGTGTTCGTATCTGTATTTTCAGCTGTTGCCTAAATGCTGAAGACTTTATATTTATATCTGCAAAGTAAATGCAACTACTTTCTGTGTCCTAAGGTCCATTCTGTCTTTCCTTTGTCACAACAGACTTGTCAGGTTTTCATTTGGTTACAAGAGTTAAGTGATAACTTGTTTTCAGTCTATTTTACAAGTTGGAAGGACCAAGTTCAAACTCTGTCCATGTAAGGGACATGTCTGAGGGCAAGATCTGAAACCTTCCACACAGAATGACATACAGACAATATTTGTCTTTCCTTTTTGGATCTTTATTTTCCTATAGCTTAAAACACCGCTGACTCTTTGGATTCTGAACCAAAGGACACAGATTCCAAAACAATAAAAGATAGAAAGAAAATGTTGTTTTTATTTTACTTTTAAAACTTTTTATTCATTTTAAATGTTTCAAAGAATGTCTCACTAGAGAGTCTCAGCTTCTTGAATGCTAGGCTGTTAACATGCATCAACACATCTAGCTTCCTAAGTTCTCTATTAGATGAAGAGTTACTCCAAACAATATAATAATGTCAAGATAACACCACTATTCAGATGAGCCAAAATCTTGGCTCATGCTGTTTCTCCTGATATTAAACCAGAATTATTTAATGGGAAATTGAATTTCTTTTTTTATTAATGAGAGGAAGTGGTGCAACCCTCCTGAGAAAATTAAAAATTGTATTGAATCCTTTGTTTTCTCACTTCGCTTACATTTACTATTTACTTCTTCAACCTTAATGCCAGGTTTTACATAGGCATTTGTTTACTGTTTATTGTGTTACATACTTTACCATTTGTACCTTCTCTCTTTCTTCTTCCATCTTTTTCCTGCTTCTGGTCTATTTTCTTCCTTCACTCCACCTTTGTTCTCTTCCTCCCTCCCTCCTTCATTTCCTCCTTCTTCCTTCTCTCCCTTCTTTCTTTCTCTCTTATTTTTTGACTGTGGCTATGATCTTTAGAAAAATGATGAACATTAAGTACTTCATGAATTTTAGTAAAGAAATATATTTGTGTGTGTGTGTATGTGTGTGTGTGATGCTAGTGCTCTACTATGTGAGTCACTTCTGGCTTTTTTCTCATCAATTGGAAGAAGAGTCTCATGGACTTTCTTGCCTTCAATAACTTTAAACTGTGGACCACCTCAGACTTCAGTCTCTTGAGTAGTTAGTAGATAAAAATATTTTAGGCCCTTCCAAAATAAAACTTGTAAGAACCTAACAACAGATGAAAATTTATTAAGTGAATTCTATCAAAAGTATGGAAAATGTATATTTAATGGCAAGATATCAGAAAAATCATAGGTGGGAATGCTTGCAATAATTCTTAAAGAATATTTAAAAATTAAATCTAAGGCTCCATGTCTTATTGCTCTCATTTCCCCAAAACTTATTAGGTTCTATTTCATATAGTTCAAGATTACACTGGAGTATTTCATTTAGGTATTGTGTTAGCATATTAAAATTAGTTGAGATTCTATGTAACTACTACATGCTTTTGGAAGATTTTCATAGGACAGGAAATGCGGATTAATTTGAAGCTTTTCTACCTTGCAAATACAAACACATACACAGACACGCATATGCACATGTACATGCACATATACATACCTATACAAAAGACACACTAGGGTTATTTACTCGCAAGGATGATACCATTGCATTTGTATAGAACAAACTTCAGCAAGCACCTGGCTGTGCTTCACACTGAGTCTGCTGGGCACACTTTCTCACCACAATCTTATCTCTACTTAGGTCTCACTTTATCAACACTTCCATCTCACACTACCTTGGGGAAAATGTAGCTCACAATGCTAACACCAACACTAAGAGAAATACTTCCTAGTGGGCATGATTAAGTTCTTTAAATTTGTTAGTTGTCTCCTTACTCTAAATATAAACTCATAGATGTGACAAAATTACTTAGGAAAGTATGTCAAGTAGACCAAAACGAACATTAGTTGCTAAACACATAAACCTTAGCATGTAGGCAGACTCTTCTAAGGTATGTGAAGTAACTTTACTGGATTAATTCCACTCACTCTGTAGTATTTTTCATTGATGTAAAATGGAAAAAAAAGTTAAATATGACATTCTTCACATTTTTCATAAAGTTTATTTTTAATACAATCTCCTCCAGAGCAGAAATAGTTAGTTTACTGTAGTCTGCTCAGAAATGTAAATGTATTTTTTAGGTAACTCTTACCATCTCAGTGTTTGCTTATAGCAAGCAAACAATGATGGCTATTCATATAACATCACTCCTTATCTATCCAAGTTACAGAACATATTCCAGTTCAGACAAACATCTTACTACTATCAACTAGGTGCCACAAAAAATAAGAGATACTCTAATACCACATTGAAAAGCATTGTTTCGAGCTCTAAGTGCTGAGAGCACACATGAATACCTCTGCCTATAATTATCAGTCAGTCACTGTATTGTTCAGAGAATGTAGAGGACAGCATAAACACTCTGTAAGTGTTTTATTCCAAGGAGGATAAGAAACATAAAGAATATGAGGCTAAGGTAGGCGGACAGGTTGATTTAATAGCACCAGGGACCTGCTATTTTTCAGACACAATTGTAATGGCTTTATTATACAATGGAACAATGATTTCTCAGAGATTTATGATAAACATGTAGTATAGCAAAAGTAAATTAATTAATTGATTTTTAAAAGCCTTCCCCCATATTCTTACTTGGAGGCAGATCTTGCATCTTGGGTATATAGAAATAGTCCCTGAAATGTCTCAGCTTATCTTCCTCATCTAGGTGGAGAGCCACCCTCTGGTCTGTTGGGTGACAGTTTAGTTCAGCCGCAATGCGCCGCACGGTGTCTGCTGGCAGCTCAGGAGGTACAGACTCCATCATAAATCGTTCTTTAAAAGAGAAAGAAAATAATAAAACAATCTCATTTTGATCACTTTCCTGGAGGAAACTTGTCCTTTGACTGATGTACCTTCTAAAAATAAATCTTAGATTCCTGCCGGGCACTAGTGGCTTACCACCTGTAATCCTAGCTACTTAGGAGGCTGAGAACTGAGTGTCAGTGTTCAAAGCCAGCACTGGTAGTCATGAGATTCTATCTTCACTAAACCAGCAGAAAGTTGTAAATAGAGCTGTGACTCAAAGTAACTTGAGCATAAAATCTTAGGTACAATGTACATGCTCTGAGTTCAAGCCTCAGGACTACCACCAAACAAAACAACAAGAAAACAACGATAAATTGTCAATTCCCAGCCTTAGAAATAATTAGCCAACTAGCATTAAAGCCTGCAGCTGAGTTTTTTTTTTCATAAAAAATAAAAAGCCATATCTTAACGGACATTAAAAGGATTAAGTACGATAACATTGCTGAGACTACAGGAGGTTCTCAGGAAATATTAGTTCTTTCTATTCTTATTACCTGGGGAAATGGAAAAAAGTACATTTGAGACATCCTTTTTCCTCTTGATGCTCTATTTGATGGTAACAGTAAAACATACTTTTTTGGAAAATAGAAAGAAAACATCATTTTCTATCTGCTTCTTCTGCCTAAATGGTTACTGTATCAAAGTTCAAATTATGCACTTTTTTCCTTTCTTTTATTTTATTCTATTTTTATTGTTAATATAGAAGTGATATACAGAGCAGTTATAGTTCCATGAATCAGTAATGAGTACAAGTCTTTTTGAACCATGTCTCCCCTTCTCTTCCCCTCTTCCAGTCACTCCTACAAGCTGGACAGATCATTTTCCACATAACTTCCAATGATTATCATTGTTGTATTTGCTGACCCTTTGTTCCACCTTTTTTGTAACCCCCTTGCCTCCCAAATATAAACTAATAAGACAAAATGAAAAGAAAACAGCAATAACAACTAAAGAAATCTCTTGTTTCCTTTCACTGGAGTTCATTTAATAAAATATTATTTTATATGATCATATGCACATAACCATTGAGCTTTTCTCATCCATTTCTTGGCCTTAGTGTGTGGCCTAGAGTCCTATACAGTTTATCATGTTCCAGAATATATATATATATAGCTATATATATATACATACAGATATACAGTAAATTAATATATATTAATTATTCAATGTGTTTACTTGTAGTGTTATAGGCACATTCTAGCTACCAAAAATGAGGGAAACCATGCAACCTATATTCTTTTCCCCTGCCTTACTTGTGAATGATCTTGAAGGTAACTTCACATTAAAGGTTGGTACTTTTTCCATATGAATACCAAAGAAGATTCTGTTGCTGGTAACTGTAAGCAATTTCTTCATTGTCATAGTCACACAGACCATCTTAGAACAGATAGGACTCTGTTATTCTGAAGTGACATTCTCCTGGGTTTAGCATTCATTCTGTACGACCCAGTATTATGGAAGGTATACTGTTTCTAGAGGCGATAAATGGAAATAAATACATCAGCATATGTTCTAACATTTTACTCAAATTTTTATTCATCTATATTTCCCACTAATTTTAAGTTGAGCATCAATGCTAACTTGATTTTACCTATGACAGTTCTTTGTTTTTTGTCTGTATGCATCTCATTTAAAATATATCTTGTAGTTCTATCTGGAAAGCTATACAAACGCTGAGAATAAAATAATATTTAAGTGCAAATCTCACTCTGTATACATTTTGAGAAGAATGGATTAGGAAGAAAAGGCATCTTTAAATCATGTTATAAAGTCAACCATATGACAACCCTACCTTAGGAAAAGTGACGGCAACTGCAAATGTTCTGAGAAGCAGGAGATATTGGCCAGTTCAACTAATACACTAATAAAAAGGGGGTGGGCAGAATGATGATAGAGTGTGATAGGGAGGCATAAATTCATTATGAAGTACTTCTGCATGCATTCCTAAGTTGAATGAGAAAGCAATGGTGATTTTTATGTGAATATGCAGTTCTCATGATGAAAATGAATGCCCTGACTTCCCAGGTAAATCTCCATCACTGATTTGTTTTTCCACACAACACTGTAGAGTTTGAGTAGGAGAATGATATTGTATAATTTTGCATTAATCAAAAATGACTTTGCATCTGTATGCTTTATAACAATTGAGAAAGATGATCATAGTAAGGCTATTACATTCATTCAGAGGAGAAAGAGCTGATAGATTGAATTTGACTGAGAGAACACATAGATAGGAATGTGGATTTGTGACCTACTTTATAGAAAACCAGGTAGAACTGTAACAAATTGTCTCTGGTGAGAACAGGTAAGGGTTTTTTTTCTAGTTTTCAGGTCTAAAATATATGTGAAGTGTGATAAAATAATAAATATTGGGGGAAGAAAAACTGATGAGGGAAATCACAGAACTCTAGGGGTCATATTGAATTTCAGATAGCTATTGAATCTCTAAGTAGCAAAGTCAAGGGAGTCATTGGAAACTTGAGTCTGAAACTTATGGTAAAACTGCATCACAAAATGTGTTTGACATTTTTCAATTCATACAATTTTTAAAGTCTAGAATCAAAAACTAGGTCAAACACTCACCCAGAATGAAAGAGCTTTAGAATTTGAATGTAGTCACATTTTTTCTATTACTTTTCTGCTTTTCCACCATAAACAATTACTATCATAAATATTTTTCTCTAATGTAATTTGTACTTTCTACCTAGATTGCTATTTCCTTTCTCAGTCACTAATGCTGATCCGTTGATCTTTTTTTTTTTTAATATTTTCCCATAAAGATACTAAACTTCACTTGTGAATGTCTTTTAGTTTTGATACCAGTTGAGTGGCTTAATTTATTATTTTATAACAAAGTCAGTGATTCTAACATTGCCGATTGTCTTTCAATATCTGATCATACTAAATTGTTTGCAGTTTTCTTGTAATATTCTAAATCTGTGAATTCTCTAATGCCATATTCTTTCCCTTCTACATATTCTTATGCTAGACACCATCCTATGCTAGACACCATTCAAAATCCTAGCTTGAACACCACATTTTTCATAAAATCTACATTATGTATTTTCTCAATTTAGTGTTTTAACTTATAAATATCAACAATATGTATGTGCAAAGATTTTATAATAAAGAATATATTCTGCCAAATACTGTATTTATTCAAGTGTATGCATGAATGAGAAAGATGAACATGTTTGCCATACTTCATTCTAAATGGGTACCTACTTTTAGCTTTCCAATGAAAAAAATATTGACTAAACTATCTCTCTCACTTGACATGATGTGCTGTCAGGTCATAGCTGATTAAGATTTGCTGGATACTTGACACCTAAAGACAGCCCACTGCTCTGATCATGGTCTGTGAATGACTTGCTGTGAAACTACTAAGCAAACAGTGGTGATAGTGTTTAGTTGAGCATATAATCAAATTCTTTCAGGAATTTGTGCTATGAGATACATTTACTCATTCAGTTAGAAACAGGATTGCAATTTTAAAAGAATCAGAGCAAGAAGCAACGGTGGAGGAGGAATGTTATCAAGAGAGATTCATTTTTCAGAGTATAAGGGAAGCATTGATGGTTAAAGCATGAACTGTAGGGCATTATTCCAGAAGCAAAGAAGAATCACAGAGCTACCAGGCTATCGACAAATAGCTGTGGACAGACACCAGATCTTTTTATGCAGTTTTGTGCAAAGATCCACGTGGAGATTTGTATAGGAATATCCTTACTGTATGCCTGCTTTTTATTTTTATTTTTATAGTAGCTTGACTAAGATGCTGATCTTCTCCAATGAACTGCTTTCTACTTGAAGCTCTGCCATGTTTAGTACATCTTTATGGCCACTCTATTGCTGAGAAGTTTTTTAGATAGGGTCACCCAAAAATAACAGCTGAATAAGGCAATAAACAAAATAGCTTGGTGAATTTTTTGGCATGACCAATAACCTATTCACAGGAGATATTCCTTATTATTAAAGAAATATTTCCACTGAACTCAGAAATAAGAGATTGTTTCATACTTAGGAACATTTTTGGTGAATTAGCACTTTGAGACTCCATAGATTTGATGTTAAATCCTAGGTGGTGCTTCATGAATATTCACAACAGTTTATTACCATAACACTTATTCTGAGTAAAAGCAAACTTTCTCATTAAAATTATGATCTTTCATAAAACTGGTACTTTCTGTGTAGCCAAGGCTGGCCTGGAACTCTAGATCCTTCTGTCTTAGCCCTCCCAGTTCCAAGATTACAGGCATGTATCAACCTACTTGTCAACACCTCCCCCTTGCAAAAAAAAAAGTTAGCTACTTCCTTTCTTAAACAACTATATATAAATAATCCAGAAGAGTAAAAATGTTGTAATCTCCTCTGAAGCTGCAGCCCTGGCATGTACAGAATATAAATAAACAAAATAAAGTAGGTTATGGTGATAGTAGAGTAGATTCAGGCACAGCTGAATCACAAACAAAAAGTGGGAACTGGTACAGGGCAGAATCTTGAGACAACGAAGACTTGAGCCTCATATTATCTCTTTGTATATTTTTCTGATTTTTAAATTGATATTTCTGCAATTAATTCTCTTTGTATATTTTGGTTAGTCTTTCAGTCTACTCAGTATCACAGACTACCTTTGAATTTATACTTATTCTTTCTGTTTCTCTCTTTCTGTTCTCTCTCTCTCTCTCTGCACACACACACACACACACACACACACACTCCAATCAGTTTTCTTTTTTTTAATTTTTTACTTGGCACAACATCTCACGAGATAGCTCAAGTTGTCCTAAATCTTGAGCTATGAGATTTTCCCTCCTGCTTCTAATTCCTGAGTGTTGAGATTAAAGTTGTATACCATTGTGCTTAGCTTCATTTGCTCTTTTGAAAAAACTCTTTGCAATACAGTCTCAGCCAGGCAAATTTAAAATGGCTGGCTCCATTTGTAGGATTGTCACACTTGGGGTATGATGTGATCATTGAAATTAGCAGCCTTTCTCAAAGATAGAACACCATTCCCCAACCCTAACTATGCTCAACTTCCAACAGATTTCAGTATGATCTTCAGTTCTCAAAATAACACAGTTACTTCACTAGAATTTATTAACTCATACTAACTTGTGCTCAATTCTATATTCACCACATCAACAAAACAATGTTTTATAAGCCATAATTTGTGCCTCGAATCTTTTTACCAATTAGTTGATAGGTTTATATAAATTTGTAAAAACTATCAAATTTTGCATGTCACATAGTTAGTGTTAACAAGTTGGACAAGCACACCATGTGGTGTATAGGAAGAAGCATTGCCATTGTTGTATAATATAAAGTCAAATTGTACTTTCTTCAGGAGATAATGCTTAAGGTCCATTTACATTGTGCATTTTTTTTGTTGTTGTTTTGGTGCTGGTCCTGGCACCTCAACTCAGGGTATGGGTACTATCCTTTGCTTTTTTGATCATAGCTAGCACATTACCACTTCACCCAATGCTCTACTTCCTGCCCTGCCTTTTGATGTTTAATTGGAGATAAGGGTATCAAGGACTTTCCTGCACTGGCTAACTTTGAACCACTATCCTCAGATCTCAGACTCAGATTTATAGACTTGTGCCTCTGGAGCCTGACTGAATCTTTTATAAAAAAGCAAAAGATACTTTCATAATTCTCTCAAAATCAATACCATTTTGCCCTTCATGTTTAGCTTTTGAAATCTTGTAAATGTTTCTTCCACGATTTTATTTACATGGCTAAACCATTTAGTCTGCTTTACAGCTGCTTCTCTGCATGGAATCATAATATTTAGTCTCACCTAACTCTTTGGTTTAAGGTTAAGCATTTAAGTAACCATGAGAACTCAGTGGTTAATCTTTACAAAGGAAGGTTTCATTTATTCCTGCAAGTGAGCAAATTGTACTGAGTTCAAAGTTTAGAGCCTGACATTTCTCTCAGAAGGAAAGTAAATCTTCTTTGATATAAGTACTCAGAGCAATTTTTTTTAATGAATCATTGAGAATAGAGTGACTTTATTCACATCTACTCCACACTACAAAGAACAGCACATCTGCTGCAATGCTATGTCTCCTTCCTCAAAATGAAAACAAAAGAATAAAGGTGAAATGAAGTCAGTCAGGCTCAGAGAGACGAAGGGTACATGTTTTCCCTTATATATAGAAGCTAGATTTAGCTTATAAATGTGTAAGTAAATAGAGTGTATGCAAGTGTATATACATGCATTAACTAAAATACAGTAGACTTGAGGGATAATTCAAATAGTGTAATTTCTTAGAAACACAAAGTTAAAATTCAGCAATATAACACCAGGAAGTGGGTAGTTGAAAGGGGTGAGGTTGGAGCAAAGGGAAAGGGTTGGATAAATAAAGAAGAGAAGGGGGAAGAATGCAGTCAAGAATTCAATATAGGGCTAGGAAGGTGGCTCAGCGTTAGAGTTCTTGTCTTGCATACATGAGGCCCTGGGTTCAATTCCTCAGTACCCATAAGCAGAAAAAGCCAGAGGTGGTGCTGTGGTTCAAGTCATAGAGCACTAGCCTTGAGCTGAAGAGCTGAGGGACAGTGCTCAGGCCCAGAATTCAGGCCCCACAATCGACAAAAAACAAAACAAACAAAAAAAGAATCCAATGTATAGTCTACATTAAGAAGCATTAAGAAGAATGAGGAAAGGAGTAGGAAAGGGAAGTTTAGCTGAGCATGTTGAAAGGGATGACATTGATTAAGATATATTGTATTCTCAAACTAACTTGCTAAATGGCAACTCCTTTTCCAACTATTTAAAACTAGTAAAACATTAATTATTCCTTTAAAAAAGAAAATAAAACTGTTTGCAAAACAGAGAAAAATGTACCAACTTTCCATTCTTAAGCAAGTACTTTACAAGAGAGGAAGAAAATGTGCTCCAGGGTAGAATTTTCACTTCTCTAAACTATATGACTAATAAGTCAATGAGTTACCAGAAAACAGAAAACTTAAAGTTTAATTTGCAGGTACAGTTCCCTCTTCTGGATTTTGATCTAATATTACCATTTAAAGTCAAGTAACTGTAAAACTAACCTTCATTTGTCAAATGTCACAAAATTTCACAGATGACTTGTAGTGTGCTATTGAAATTAACCTTTTCTGTTCACTCTCTGACTAGTGATCTCTTCATTAACCCGTGTTTAAGGATTGAAACACCTTTTAGAACAACCATTCTATTTTTCTTTATAAGGTTAATTAAAATCAGAAAAGAAGAACAAGCAATATCCAAAACAATATGACATTGTATTATATCACATAACATTTCCATTCAGAAAATACAATGATTAATTTGTGTACTGAGTAAACATCACAGCTTTAGTGCTTACTTACTTGGATTCCAATGTGGTCCTCAGATTCCAGAATTTCTCAGTGAGCCATTCAACAATTTCTTGTAACTTTATAGACCAGGCCTTAAAGTGAGAAATTCAACTAACTGCTCAAACTCCACCCTGTGGGGATTTTGCAAGATAATTTTAGTTCCTCCCACTCAACTAAATTTGACTGTGAATCACTAAACCAAACATTGTTCCTCATGGTTACAAGCACTAATAAGTGACCCTGCTGAGGGCATTTTCTTTTGCAAGCTTTGTTCTGACCTTTTAGACTCTTGTAAACTTTCCTGTTTTCTATTTAGAATTGTGGTGTTCTAGCTTATGAGTTTAGTTGGACTCAGATTGAAAATTTCATGCTTAGTCTTTGCTGCTAGATATGGAATTCTCTGAAGACTGAAGGAAAGTTCTCTTCTCAGGAGACTCTTCCTTTTGGTTTTGATGCAAAATTCTATAATCATGTCTTTTCAGGACAGAGTTTATGGCTTTTAACCAGTACATACCCAGAGCTGAATAGCTAGCCCCTGTCTCAGATAAACAAAATGAAATAGCATGAGATAGTATGAACACCAGAATATGTTTCATTGCTTAATATATAGGATTTAAAAAGCCCTTAGCTAAAAATCTCTACAGTTAATGTGACAATCACAGAAGGAAAAGTTAGAGTTTAAAAATCCAAGCAAAATTAACCCGAGAAATGTCATAATTTTGAAAATTATTCTTTTAAATCTATGCTTTTTATTGCTCTATATTGCCTATGAAGGCTTATTCCTGGATCTTTCTGACAAAGTTCTGTTTAGGCATAAAAAATAAGAACAAAAATTTTCAGTATTAGCATTGAAAGTTGAGCCTGCATTTGAATAACTAAATCACTTATTAATACCTACTTGTTTGAGTATCCAAAATATAGTAGGTACAATTATTTTAATTTATCATCTCTGTCATGTGCTTTCTGTAGCTATACAGTTCTAAGCAATGCAGTTAAATGTTACTGAGGATCAAACTCCTATCTCTTGTATATAAACTATGCTTTACATAGTTACTGTGTTAGTAAAACAGACAATACAAAAAATTTCTGTACCCATGATCCATAAATTGATGTAGCACACTGTTTTTTCAATTTAACTATACAAAAGTTACTGCTTTCTAATCTCCAAGAGAGAACTAAAAAACACACAAATTCATTTAAAATGAGTTACTGACCAATGAAAACAAAATGTATTTTATCTAATCTATTCTGGCAGTTAACCTGTAAAATAACTAGAGTATTCTTGTTTAATTAACAGGGAATTAAAAAAATATTTGAATCCAGACAGAGTTTCAAAACCATGTCTTTCTTTTCTCTTTTCCTATGTTGGTTGGGCTATTGGTATCATTAAAACTTATGGTGATCTGTTCTAATATATGATAAGTGTACTTCAGGAATGTTCATGTCATTTTGCTTAAGAGAATCATGTTCCTTAGGAGACTAAAAGCATATATAGAAATGTTGACCAGTGTGGGAAAGTCTTGCATTCACTGTTTTTCTATTTTCTCTTTTAGTAATACAGTTAAAAAGCATTTTCTTAAAGTATTATCTTAAAATCTATTATTTGATATGGTCTCCTTTAAAGTACTTTAAAGTTGTACTTCTGTTTCTTATGCTTTGTAAATTGATCTCATTAATTTGTGACTTTCATTTACTTAAAATATGTAGGAAGTATTTTCCTTAAACCAGGCACAAAGTGCCTAGTTCTAGAGAGAATATAAATCCTAGATTAATAATAATGATGATATTGAATCTAGAAGATATTTATGTTGGGGAAAATAAAAAGGCTTCTTAGTGTTAGGTCTGCCTGGGGAAGATGGTCCCTTTGTTTTCTCTCCATGCAAAAACCACATTTTTAGACCTCTTTGGCCTTTGTTCTCTCTCCCTGCACAACTGCACTGGGGGACTCCCTAGAAGTCCCTGCCTAGCAACTATAACCCAGGTAACTGGTAAGAGGTCCCTCAGGCTCTGAGTTCACTTCCTCATGCTCTGAGGTCACTTTGCCATCTGCTCCAGTCACACCACTTTGGACAGTGGGAGGTCCCCTAAGCTCTGAGGTCACTTCCTTATATACAATGTCCACACCTCCTTCTTGCCCTCTGGTATATAATCTCTTCACCATCAGTGGGGGTGCACATGCTAAACCCTACTCCAGCATGGCCCAGGAGTTTGGCTCTCCCAAAGAAACCCCTTGCTGCCTGAACCACATAGTGATCACTTTTCAGCAACCCTTACATCTGTGCAGCACCAGATGTAAGGGTTGCTGCAAGAAGACTGACTCTTGGTTCATGGAGAAGAAAGTTTATTGGGAGGACCAAACCACCAGCCTGCACCAGATGTAGGCAGATGTAGGTGTGCAGGGAGGGGACTAGCAGATTATATAAGAGAGATTATATAAAGAAAGGTGGGGAGGAGGTATGGCTGCTGTGGATGAGGAAAGACCTCAGTAAGAGGAAATAACTTCAGAGGATGAGGAAGTGAACCAGAGCCTGGGGTCCTTTTGCTGATTCACAGTAAGGTGATCGACAGGTGATTGACAGTTACAGGTGATTTCTGGTAGGAGGAGGCTGTTCTTTCCAGCAGACCTAAAATTCCAGCCTTTTGACAGTCAGACTCTGGTTATTTCTTACTGGCAAGAGGCATTGATTTACAAGTAAAAGGGAAAGATGTCCGAGTTTGTCTTTATAATCCCTTTATCCTTTGTATTCTTTAAATAGATTTCTTTTAATAAATCATTCCTATGACTTTCATCTGAAGAAGTCATCAAAAGCCAATCAAAGACAGGTGCCCATGACTCACACCTATAATTCTAGCTGCTCAGGAGGCTGAGATCTGAGGATCATGGTTTGAAGCCAGCCTAGCCAGGACAGTCCTTGTGAGACTCTGATCTTTAATTAATCACTCAAAGAACAGAAGTGTTTTTTATGATAGGGTTTTAATAAATTATCACCTCTTGTGGTTTTGAACAATGTTCTTCCTATATTCACATCCCAAGTAGCTACACTTATGGGCACCATGACAGGACAAAGATAATGTTCTTTCAAACATTGACCTGTGCCAGCTCCCTTGTCTAATTGTGTGCCTTGTTAAATGTCTCCCAAAGACCAAGGGTCAGGCCTTATTTGGTAACAATTATCCTTTGCTCTATGTTAATTGTTCCCTTTTGGACCCTGAATGCCTATTCTATGACTGTACTAAGATTTTATCTAGAAAGTATATGTTTTGTTTTGTTTTAATTTCACAGGCTCATAGCTACAAGGGAGTATGCTTTAAGTTAATTGATACCTGGAATCTACACATGTGATTCAGATGTGAAATTGTGAACATAGTCACATGTTCATGGTTCATGATTCATGGTGAATGATGAATGAACTCGTTCACCATGAATCATGGTGAATGAGTTAAGACTTTTGGGAAAATAGGGATAGAATAAATGATTTTTTTATGCACAAAGAATGACCTTTGTGGCATTAGAGGTACAATCTTATGGACTAAATATTTGTTTCTCAAAAATTTATCTTGAGCCGGGGCCCAGTGGCTTACACCTGTAATCTTAGCTACTCAAGAGGCTGAGATCTGAGAATCATGGTTCAAAGCCAGGCTGGGTAGGAAAGTCCCTAAGACTCTTATCTCCAATAAACCACCAGAAAACTGGAAGTGGTGCTATGGCTCAAGGAGTAGAGCGCTTGCCTTGAGCTATAGAGCTAAGGGACAGGGCCCAGGTCCAGAGTTCAAGCCCCACGATCGAAAAAAAATCACCTTGATGGTGATGGTGCTAGGGGTTGGGATGTTTATGAGATGATCATGATGTCATGGATCAATGCCCTTATAAAAGAGGCCCAGAGAGTTGTTTCCCTTTTCCATCTCTTCTCTCATCTGAAGACATTAACCTATCACCAGCTTTGAGTCTTTTCCCTTCCAACCCTGCCATGGAGGACATGGCATTTGCTCCTTTCTCCCCAGAAAAGAGCAAACAGACATCGTCTTGGAAGCAAAATTTGCCAGTGTATCTGCCAGAGTCTACATCTTGGACTTCCTAGATGGAAGCACTGTGGAAATAAACTTGTATTTCTTGCAAGTCATGCACTATCACAGGCACCTGATTTGACTTGGATATTCCTTCCTGGAGTATATATTACTTACACACAAGGTCTTATCTTCTTTTACTATCCTTTACATAGAAAGTAATCAAATATTTTCTGAATTCAGGTTATTAAGTTTTTTAATTAATTACATAGATTACACTTACAATATCCTAATTCATAAAAACTTATTATTAATCCATTATACTGATTAATTAAGTACATTATAATTTCACTAAAATTAACAGCAAAGATAAAAGAAAAGGAATAGAAAATCCATTTTCTTGACCAGATATATGGTATATATATGCACACAATGGAGGGAAGCAAGGAGGAAGACAGAATCAGTAGGAAAGAGGAAAACATACAACAGAGGGGATCATCAGCTGCACTTGACATAGATGAAAATGAACTAAGCAACCCAAAGACAGCAATGGGAAGGCAGGAGTATAGCCTTGAGCTATACTACTTAGCAAAAGGAAAGAAATGTAAATATCACCTGATAGAGAAGAAATAATTGTATTGTCAAAGCTCATAGAATTCACAAACTTTATAGACCATGGTAATGACAATTTGCCTTGTGAAGGTTAAAATGTGTTTGTGACTTTCACTAAGTATCACTATTCCACAATACTGTGAAATATGTGAAATTTATGTAATCACCTAAGCTCAATTAAAAAGAAAAAGAAAAAGAAAAGTGAGAGAAGGGGTGGGTTAGGAGCGATGAGTGACAATGATATGAGACAATTTGTATTCATATACTGTTTTGTAGAATGGGAACTTCTTTGTACAACTACTTAAAGATAATAAAAAATTAAAAATTAAAAAAGAAATGAAATAGGAAATTAAGCTAGACATTAAACCAAGACAGGAGAATTGCTTGAAGCTAGGCATTCATAGTCATTCTGGACAATAACTTAACAACTTGTCCTTACCATTTCCTTCTTGCCAAAAAGCAAAAGCAAAAGCAAAACCAAAGGAATAAAAACAAATCAATTTTGTA